CCTTCTAAAATAATATGTACATGTTGACATAATAATCTCAAGCCAAACTTGGAAAGCATTTCTTTGTTTTTATATAAGACCTATGTCACTAATTTTTTCTGTAAATTTGTCTCTTTTAATAATCTTGTAGCCTGATTAGAATATTCTCGAGGCAAGCTAAATTATATTTTAACTATTAATACTCTAAGAGCCACATATAAATTATCAAAATGGGATGTGTAACTTTCTTATCACAGTAGTCTTTATGCAACATTCAGTAGTTCATAAAATATTTGAACTTTTTTTGTTTGGTGGCTCCTCTTCCACTTAACTAGCAAAATGAGCTCTTGTTTCATCGAAAACCCTTTTTATAAATCTATTGATTCATACTCAGATTAAGAATCATTGCTCTTTAAAGGAGCAGAGCACGTTGAAGGACCAATTTTAGAGTATATTTCATGTTCATACTTGCCATACGAACTCCATAATTAATAATTTATTTGTAATTCCCTGCGATATAAATTAGACCAAATTATTTCTGTCATTAGATATGCTTGATTCTTATATTTCGTACATGAGCCTTGAAACATTCCCTCATAAAGGCAAGTCAAAAGCTGAGATGTTGCTTCCATCAAAAGATAAACATCATTCAAACATACTAAATTAAGTTGAGTTGTTGTAAATTTACGTAATTGCTGATTAACAATACTAAATTGATTCATAGATAGTTTAATATGAAATCCTAAACCCCATAGAGATGTAATGTTTCAAACATACCGAAAGCAAAAAAATTGATTGGTGTGTATGTTTGAAAGGGAATTAGACTACATACCTTTTAATTCTTATAAGTTTATGTCTCAAGTGCATAAACTTGCATATTTGTATATACAACTATGAGCTAAGTGGCTGATAAATATACCTCACATATCTTATGCATTATCTTAACCGGCTAGGAACATGCATCAATCTAAGTGGATGATAGGCATATGGTACTATTAACCAAGTTTTTAAACCAAAGTAATTGGCACATTAAGACTTTTGAATTAAACCATAAACTATTAATTATGAGGCATTTATACACATAAAACCTAATTCAAAGTAAATTACGCATCTAACACCTAAAGATTATCCTAAAACTTGTATAAAACCTAAAACACAACAAATTGAAATGCAATGCATTAAAATATTGCAATAATAACAATCTCTAAAATTTTGATGAAAATACAGAAAGAATGAGATACATCCCAAAAAAATAACTACATTCAAAAGAAAATTTCAAAATATCCCAAACCCCAAAAATCCAAAATTCTTGAGTTCAAAGTTAGAAACAAGAAAATTACAGTTTTTTTTTTCTTGTAAAATTCAAGCTTAGTGCATCGCTCGGCCCAGAGTACCCACATGGAAAAAAAAATTAAAAAAATGTGAATTTTGGCTCATTTGTTCATAATATAAAACTTGATTGTTGGACTTCTGATAGCCTAAACTGTGAATTTTAAGTAAATTAGCAAATGATGATTCCAGACCATCAATTTTATGTCAGCCCTTATGTCTGTAAGTTTTTGTTGCTTTATCTATAAAAAAATAATTGACAGTCATATGTTTGCCAATTATTCTATCGATTTCATCGGAGAATTCTGTAGTGAAGAGGAGAAGGATGAGTAGATATGAGGAGAGGTGATGAAAAGCCATGTTGGTAGTCAACAACTTTTTTGGGCTTTAAATCTAGAGAGGAGAGATATTAGCAAGACACCATCATGCTCAATTGAAGATAAAAATTTGTAAAAAAGAAGGAAGACATTTGGTACCTTAGGCTATTAATGAATTTTCTAAGACTATTTAGCAATGTTTTTGACCAAAAATATAAGAATATCGTTGATGAATAATCAGTAACAAATGTCAACAAAAATTACCTTTTCCTTTATTTAAAGTAAAATTATGAGATAAACAAACTTACATAGAAAAATCACAGAAAGTTTTTTACTTCAAGGTTTGGGGAAATAAGAGTTGTAGAATAATATATGTTGATATGAAAGGGAAGCATATATTATTTAACAAAGAAACTATCTGTGAGAAAGAATTAAATGTGAGGTTGGGAAAGATTGCAAATGAATCAAATGTTCAATTAACTACTCATGGATTGGCAAGATAAAGCTCATTTGTGGTTATTTATTTAGCCAATCAAGTAAACTTCAATACTCTATAAATACTACCTTGTTAAATATACAAGCATGTGTAATTTGCTGCTCCATTGGTTTATGTTTATGAGCAATATCATTGAAAACTTAGAAATTAACATGCTCAATATGATGTTTGATTAAGGCTCAAAATTATAGTCCATATCCTTATCAATATTTAATTATGAAACTTAATAAAAAATCAATAAATTATAAATTAATTTTCACACACACACATACTAACTCACTCTCTTATCGTAAGTATGCTTAATTTCAAACACATTAATCTTCTAAATTTACATAAGATCCAATCTCATTTTTATTTTTAAAAATATTTTAGTCCCAAATTATTCGCAAGCTAAAATTATTATTGTTTACATTTTAGTACCTTGCTCATTGATGCGAGCTTGTAATATTATTTGCTAGAGAATGTCATTGGTTTGGATTATTTTTCTAAGCTTTGAGTTAGTAGGATTTGTGAGTGGATCTTATTGGATGGATTTTAGAGCACATTTTAAATGCTTGTTAAATTAAAATATCATTTTTTTAGCTTATTAAGCTTAGCTCAATAAGCCTTGTTTATGCTTCCAAATTAGCAACTCAATTAAATTGGAACAATTATTAAATGAACCAAGTTTAAGTTGCACTGGAAGATACAAGAATTTTAACAAGCCAATCTTGTAAACTATTACGAAAACTAATTCCAACTTGAGCCAAACTCGATAGAGTTTTGATAAATGAGCTCAAACTCAATTCTTTTGCATCCATATGTATCAAGTATGCTTTTTGTTCATTGTCTAAATTTTTAAGGAGGGACACTTTTTAAGGAGGGACACTTTAGAAATTTTTTTTTTTTTGTAGCTCTTTCAAATCAAAATATCATATAGAAGTAAAGGTGTATAAGTTGTATAATGCTATAATATTAGAATACTGTTGAACCCAAAACTATTCAGTAGACACACTAAAGGAATATAGTGTTGAAGGAAGAGAGAAAGAGAGGTGGGGAAGAACAATGACACATTCTTGAACAATAAAACTGCGTAACCTTTATTCATGGAAAAGACATATTTTTTTATAGGAATGGGTCATCATACTATTAGATGTTGTATTCTGGAGTACGTATGTACAACAAATGTATTTTAGTATATACATAATATGGCCCAAGGGGCTCATGGATACGGTCGGGCAGCCCTTATATTGGTTGGCCATCAGGTTGGACGCCTACGTGCGCAGGATCTACGTCAACCGCTCTGGAACTAGAGGGTTCGTTTCACATTCTCTGTCTGTCCAAGTTGAAGGCGCTTGTTCACCTGAGTGGATCTAGTTTGATATATTCTTTAGGGAGTGATTTGCTTTTTATACGTCTTAGGTGCACTGTCTTCCTGGTACGCGGGGGCTTGTTGGTTGAGCGTGTTGTTCTGGGTCATCCTCGATGGGTCCCATGAGACCAAGTCACCTTTTTCATCATATGTGTGATGTCTTTGTCATTTGTGCTGACATATTTTTTATATACATATTAAAATTTTCTGATTCTCTTGATCCTTGACAGTGACAGTTGTGATAAAAACAAGGGAATCTGTATTTTGAAATAAGTTTGTGGTATTCATGACTATTTATTTTTTTTATTTCTATGCCAAAGTCATTATAAAATGAGATGTGGGAACTTATCTTCCAAGCTTTCTTTCAGAATCATCTTATGTCTCCTTAGTGGTGCTGAGCATGGAGAATAAAAAGCTCCCTGGATCTGTCATTGAGAAGGCCGGAGGTTTGGCATTCCAGTCCATGAAGGAGTGAGCGAAGTCCGTCTCCTGGATCAAATTGCTTGAAAAGCGCGTTGTGTTTGAGATGAGGGCTCCCGACCCTATGGTTGAAGTAGGATCTTCGGATTGAAATAAGGACCACTCCGCGAAAGGTGTCTTGATGGGAGAGGGAGGCTTCTTCATGAGAAAATGACGTGCGATAAGAAAGGGTCACCAAGATCGTGTCGAGATCGATGCACACTTTCATGTTCATGTTTGTCAGCCTACTGAAATGAGATGGGCTGGGAAGAGAGCTTGGTCAGTCAACTGAAATGAGGTGGCCAAGGGGGAGAGTGATTGTTCTGTCTACTGAAGTGACGTGTCCGAGGGATAGAATTTAGTCGGCCGATTGAAATGAGGTGGTTGATTAATGGGTTGCCTTGAGATCCGTACATACCATTTTTGAGCTCCCAAGGACTAATTATCTCTTCTTCTACTATCAATGGCAAAATTATTCTACTCATGTACTCGTTCCTTAAGATAATAAGGAATACACTTGGTTTTATAGTCAGAGTAGTTCAAAATTTCTATAATTTTTTTGTCTTTTTGATTTTCCCCTTAATTCACACCCCCTATAACACTTGCCTCCATATTTGCGAAACAATTAATGAAATTATTGCACTAATTAATCTCGTGGATCACACAAACGAAAGCTTAACTTAACATTCCTTATTAACTACCTTACAAAAGCATTAATACACTGTATATATATATATATATATATATATATAGAAAAGATTGATAGTCCATCAACTTTATAGTTTGATCGAGAGGCGGACCCCCCTTTCCAGAAAGGTGTACAATCTTACTCCAAATGCTGCAACCAATGAGTTAGGCTGTCATGATTGTATATATATATATATATATATATATATATATTCAAGCGAAAATTCGGCCAAACAGAAAGGAGATCATAAGCCAGCATAAAGTCTCCCACAACACTCCTTTAGTTAGTGCTCAAACACCATTAGCTCCACACACTAAAATATTTGTATCATTAAGATCCATGAAATGATGATATAGATAGACCAGCAAAGGCTAATTATCCAGCCATACTCCTTTCTCCCCAGCCCAAAGAACCTTTCTCCGCCTAATTCTCCTCTCTTTTCCCCCCCCTTCCTTTGGTCTAAAGCAACGGCCATGGCGCCAATCTGCCAGACCACAAGCAACGACAAAAGGTGTCGTCGTTGTAAAGATATCTAACGAGTCAAGCACTACCTCCATTAAAAACTAAACCTTTTTGGCAACAGAGCTCGCTTCCCTCCCACCTCAAGACTTCTATATAGCTCAAGGCAAGGCGATTCCTAACACTTCCCCTTCTCCTCCCAAACTCCATCTCTGCAAGCAAAGAAAGGAATTCAGAGCTTTACTGAATATATTACCTCCTCTTCCTGCTCATCTTCCTTCCCCTTCCTCCATATTCCCTCTCCTAGCTCTGTCTTCTTCATGATGGAAGCTCCATTATTTGTTTTCTTCAAACAAATCACAATTCCCTTTATGTTTGTGTTCATTCTTTTCTCTTCAGGTGCATTATTATCTCCTCTTTCAAAAAAATATTAGATGCATTGCACCTACTCCTAGTGGAGAGTGAGAGATAGTATCTCCCTCCCCTTTCTCTCCTCCTATTAGCGAGAGAAAATTGCATCTGATTTTCAGACGTAAATTTGTTTCTAGAGTTCAGTGAACAACTTATCATATGACAAATGAGTCTCACTGTAATATTACTATTTATAGTTAATTTTTAAGAGATATGAGACTCACTTGCCACGTAACTAGTTTTCACTAAACTCCGAACATATATAAGTGCAACACATCTAATATTTTCTTCTCATATTCGTATTAATCACATCAGTGCGTGCAGAAGAATATATACATCTATTTTTTTGGAATGTAATAAAATTATAATTATAATTATAAAAAGTAAACATAATCTATAAAATTTCTTTCATTGATGCTATTATAGTCTTATAAAATACTTTAATTATCTATGTGAATTAACTTAAAAAATAAAAATTAATTAAAATAAAAACATTTCATGCACATTCCTCCTTCCTCCTACATTTTATTTTCATTCCGCCACCACCTAATCCACATAATTTCATAATCTTTTTTTCAGAATTCGAAACGGTAGAGCAAGCCTCAGCCCTAGGCATCAACTACGGCCAAATCGCCAACAACCTGCCCTCCCCCGACCACGTCCTCCGCCTCCTCACCTCCCTCCACATCACCAAAGCTCGAATCTACGACGCCAACCCTAAAATCCTATCCGCCTTCGCAAACTCCACCATCGAGCTCATCGTCACCGTTCCCAACGAAGCCCTCCCCTGGCTCGCCAGCCCCACCCAAGCCGCCAAATGGATCGCCACCAACATCACCCCATTCATCCCGAACACGAAGATCACCGGCATTGCCGTCGGGAACGAGGTCTTCACCTGCCAGGACAGCGCTTTGATAGGCAGCGTGATGTCCGCCATGGTGGGGATCCGGCGAGGTCTGGCGGAGCAGGGTCTGGACTCTGTTATTCATGTTTCCACGGCGAGTTCGCTGGCGGTGCTGGCTAATTCTTACCCGCCGTCGATGGGGTCGTTCCGGCCGGAGTTAGCGGAGGTGATGGGGGAGTTTTTGAGGTTTTTGTCGGAGACGGGGTCGCCGTTTTGGATCAACGCGTATCCTTACTTCGCTTACAAGGGGGATCCGGAGAGAGTTCCGCTGGAATATGTGTTGTTTGAGTCTGGGTCGGGTATGTTGGATCCCAACACAGGGCTGGAGTATGACAACATGTTATATGCCCAGGTAATTATAATTGTCCCAATGTCTTCTGTGTGAAAAATTATTGCATCAGAGTAAAATTTACATCAGTTTGGACAATCAGAGCCTGAATCTTGTATGTCAGTGGGCCCAAATGATCACTTGACCCCTGTTATTGGACACCTGATGCAAATTTGCATCAGGAATTCTGATGCAATAATTTCTCCTTCTGTGCTTCCCATTTATCATTATTATATGTCAATTTGAGGAGAAAATATTAGATGTGTTGTATGCGTCTTTGGCTTTGGCTAGCTAATTGGAGGAGAGAGAGGGGATCAGAGGGAGCGTGCTTCTCCCCTCTCTTTCCTCCTATTAGCTGGCCGCATGGCCGTGCAAGACACTTAATGCACTCTGGATTTTAGGAGTTGTTTGGTAGCACAGTTTTAATAGGATTTAGAATTGAATTTAGCCTGAATCCAGTCAGAGATCGAAAATATGAAAATTAGTGCTTCGTTAGAACAAATTTTTTCATGTTCCGTCTCTTATATCTCGATTGTTTGATTTAATGGATTTGTAAATTCTATTTAACGTAAATCCGTATTGCAGCCGGACAAAGCCGAGGTTGAAAATAATTACATTGGAACAGTTAGTGGCAGTTTGAGATGCAGTTTTAATTAGAATGTGATTAAGATTGAAGATAAATCTTGATTGATGGTATCGTAGCTCTTGAGGCATCTTGTACAACTTAGTTTAAGTTCCTTCTTTTGGCTACAATCATAGGATAGATGAATAAGATTTTATAACTATTTGGTAAAACAACAACTAAAGTTTACAGAATCTGTTAGGATTGTTTTTAATTTATATTGCTTTACTTTTAGGTTTTATGATAAGTATTTTGTGTTAGTTTATAACCCCACTTGAATCTTATCATCACGCTCCTTTAAATCTTAAATCATTAAGCAATAGCAAGTTTCTTTTTTTTTTTCTATTGCAGTTTAAGCGAATTTCACCTCAATCATGCAAATAGCTTTCCTAAACTACAAAACAATAAGACTCGTAAGATACACTGGCTTTGTCCGAGGAAAAAATATTACATTCAGTGTGAATGATAGTATTTAGGTGTTATCAGGTAATATTGCGATGTTATTTTAGTAAAATAACACCTAAATACTACAATCAGGACTCCTGATGTAATATTTTCTCTTGTCTGGGACGATGCTATTTTTTGAATATGTAACTATGAAATTATTGTTCAAAAAGCTGCGGTGTTATTACAATTTTTTTTTTGGAAAATGTCATTCATTATTTTCTAGCATTAATCATGTCCAATGACAAAACACAACTATTTTAAAAAAAAAACTAAATAAAGTATAGTTTTACAAAACAGAAAAACAACAGTATATAAAAACTTGTAATGAATTGACAGCAAGCTACCACATAAACACAGCAAATAATTTCTCCTTTTAAAAAAAAACCCAAAGTTCCTATTTTTTTTAAAAGACAGAAAAAGGCGCGCCATTTTATTGCTCCAAATCGAAATTAAGAACAAAGCATTTGCGCAGGTGGATGCTGTAATTTTCGCCATTGCAAGGTTCGGATATGGGGATATACAAGTATCAGTGTCAGAAACCGGGTGGCCTTCAAAGGGAGACGAAGATGAGATGGGAGCAACTGTGGAGAACGCGATGATTTATAACAGGAATTTGGTGGCCAGGCAGCTGGAGAATGAGGGTACGCCAGTGAGACCGACGCCGAGGCTTGAGGTCTATCTCTTCGCTTTGTTCAACGAAGACTTGAAGCCAGGCCCGACCTCGGAGAGGAACTACGGGCTTTACCAACCCGACGGCACCATGACCTACAACGTCGGACTTTCAGCAGCCACGTCGACGGCGTCGGTCTCCGCCATTAATTCATCTGCTTCACGGGTATGCTCGATTGTCTTTTTGATGAAGAAATATTACGTGCAATCAGCGTAGCTATGAGTTTGATGATTTCATGGTGATATTGAGCATAATATCATCAGAATACTAATAATTCGTACCTACATTATCTGCACATAAAATTTTTTTGGTATTCCGACTTTGTGGTCATACTTACCATCATCTGCCCATCCGAATTTTTTCTACTTTCTCCCTTTTCATTGGGTTATTATCTAAGTATTAAGGGAGGATTTCTATGAATAATGAAATTATCTCAATTATGATCCATAAAGCTCATATTTGGAAAATGATTTTTGCATCATCATTCAGAAACAGGCCAATTAAAATGTCATGGTTTTCATCCAAAACTAAAAACAAATATCAAGTAGTTATACTATCTATTCTTTTCGTTTGAAGCATCTTTTGACCAGAGAAATTTTTCTTCTTTTTTCATGAAATTATTGTTTTGCATTTTGAAGCCTAACAATGGATACTAACAAGATTCTTTTCTGAAGCAGACAAGAGGGGTCAAATTGAAACGTTTGTGGTACTGCATTATCGCAATCTCATTAACTTTTCAGATTTCAATGAGATGAATTCATATCATAGGGAACAAGATGATCTCATGATCCATTTTCTTTTCCTTTCCTTCTTTTCTTCCTTCTTTTTCTTCCTTCCTCCTCCGTCCCTCTGGAGAAAATGGCAAGCCATGAGGAATCCCCTCCATCCTTAGCTCCCAAGTATCATGGCTACTGTACAAAATTCAGGCAAGTAAAGAACCTATACTTTTCTCCCAGCTTCACTGTACACATTTTCTAGCTGCCATGTTATAAGAAAAAAGAAAAGAACATCTCCAGATCCTGGAACTGATGGTCCCTTCTTCACTGCTGCAGAAAAAGGAATTTAAAGGAGAGGAGCGCTTTGGGACGTGGAAAGCAATAAGCAGATGCACAGATGATGGCTATTTTTTTCTCTCTCACTTTAATTTTATTCCTTGTAAAGATTTGTTGTTGATCATGTTGACTAGACTGCTGATCAGTTCTCATGACATCAATCTGTAAATGATAGCTAAAAAAGGGTAAGGATTAATATAATACCCACTGGCTTCCTTGGATGCTATGTATGGAGTATGTATGAATGTGGATTTCTTGTACAACAGTGTTGTACAACTTGTGTACAATACTATTGTACACTAAAAATCATTGCATCAAGACTTCTGATGAAAGTTTGCATTAGAAGTACAATTAAGGCCTGCCACGTGTACAGTCTGACCCACCCTAGTAAAAAAAAACGTTTATTTATTATATGATGAGTTTGTCTGTACATGCGATAGATTCTGATTGGACTTCTGATGCAATTTTACATCAGAAGTTTTGATGCAATAATTTTTTGTTAAACACACAATATATGAATTCCGCACGTAATAATTTTTGGCTCCTCTTTGGGCCTATAAATTCAACTAAAGAGTAGAATAAACAAAGTATATGTTTACGAGCTTTGTGATTAGAGGCATGATTTGAGTGTTAATGAGTTATTTCTTCTCAATGATGTTCATATTCAAATACTAGTATAAATGTTTCTAATAAATTAAAGTTCATTTGGAATCTAATTAATCTTTTTTTTGTAATTATTATTTTTATTTATTTTGTTATTAAAATATATTTATTTGATGTATTTTTCATTTATTTTTAATAAATAAATTAGGCTAATTTTAGAACACTTAAAATAATTAAAAGTAGCAAGGTATGAGAATATTTATAAACTAGTTAATTTATTTTCAACATGATTGAAATATTTTATTTTAAATTCAAACATAAATATAATAAAATAAAATAAAAAGAATTGATCCCAAATAATCTCTTAAATCTCTATTTTCTTATCTCTTTATTAAAAAAATTGACAATGATATGCGAGATGGGAAAATAAATAGAAAACATCTCTTATGAAAGCTTGAAATCATGGTGGTAAGTAGGGGTGTAAACAAACCGAAAACGAATGAACAGAGCTCGTGTTCGTGTTTGATTCGTTTGAAATAAACTGTTTTTGAAATAAGCTCGTGTTCGAAATTGTTCGTTAAAGGTGTTGTTCGTGTTCGGTTCGATTGTTTGAAATAAGTTCGAATTGTTCGAAATGTTTGAATTGTTCAAATTATCTAAATTGTTTAAATTGTTTGAATTTTTTGAATTATTCAAATTATTTGATTTGTTGGAATTATTCTAAAATATTAAGATTTATTTGCATATTTGAATTGCTAAAATATTATAATATTTATATTAATTAAAATATTATAATATTTATATTAATATAACTACAACTAATATATTATTATTGCTATTAATAATTTATTAGATATTATAATGTCTAGGATTTAATTATTTTAAATATGATAAATTTTTATAATAAATAAATATTTTTAAAATATCCTAAATTTTTTATATATAACTATTTTAAATTATTTTATATTTCGAACAATAACGAATCGAACACGAACGAACACATCACCGTTCGTGTTTGACCGAACGAAAAAAATTGTTCATGTTCGTCTCGTTTGTTTATTGAACGAATCGAACACGAACTCCCTCGCGAGCCGAACACAAACTTTTCGCTAACAACGAGCTTTTTTGACGGCCCTAGTGATAATTGCATTTGTCTATATATATGACATTGCGAATTTATTAAGATAATCATATACAATTAATGTATGCATTTCATTATTATGAAAAAACCCCACCCGGGCATACTGGTGGACCGGATTTGGAAGCCATGGTTGACACAAGAATGATGAACATTCTAGTGATATGATTTCTCTAGTAATACATGTAAACTAGTCATGTCACAATCAAAGCATTTTTGTCCTATCCAAAAGTCCAAGTTAATTTGATTTAATTAGACCATTTAATATAGTATTGATGCCTTTATAATTACTCTAATTTGTAAAACTTAGTTACAAGTTCTTATTGACCACAACCTATACAAATCACTATAAGATTTTTGTATGTGAGCGTTGGCCAAACCAGACGGTGATATGACAATAATTCCATTCAAAACAGTTTTAGTGTTGGGTTTGGGTTGGACCTCTGGTCCATGCCAAAATCAGGGTCGGAAATGCATTTAGTTGCGAAAGTGTTTGACATAAAAAAATTGCGTCGACTTTAGCATTAGAAATGGTCGGCATTAGCCAGCTTTGACGCACCTTACACCGACACAACTGTTAATTATTGAATCCAGTCAACAAGATTATTTAGTATGAGAATGTATCTAAGTGCATCGAAAATTATCGATGTCATTAGCGTCATGAAGAAATGATCATGTTTTTACTACCGGCATGGAACAAATATCAATCTCATAAACATTTACTTATGCACTAGCACAACACAAAATCTACTACACAAACAAGTGCCGATAATAAAAATAAATATAATTTAACAAAGAATAAGCTATGAATAAAAGTTCACATCTATAGATTCTATACACAAAATTGAGATACAAATAATATGTCGGCATGCACAATAAGAAAAAAAATACATAAAACCCCATCATCAAGCTCATCAACATCCCCCCTTCCTCTCCCTCATCCTTCTCCTCAACCATGGAACACAGAGGCCGCTTGCCATGACATACAATATAATCTGTCAATCTTGCCAAAGTGCCCTTGACTCTATACTGACTCTTACGTAACGTACGGATCTCGTCATTTATAGCAGTGATGCACTGAACAAGTTCCTCGTGTTATGATAATAATGTCCTTGAACCACGATGAGGAACATGTGAACGCTCAGCCTCAAATGTAATTCCCTTCGAGCCCAGGTCATACGCCCTCTCGTTCTTCCTGTTGCATGTCTCCAAATCTCAAAACAAACAGCGTAGAGGTAGACTACTTACCACGACTGCTGGCGACTGCCACTCTGCCAGGATCTGGCTCTCCCTCTCCTCTGCCTCTGCGTGTCTCAAATGCGCTCGTACTCCTCCTACATAATCGGAACCAATAATTAATTGTCATTTTACATTAATAGTCTAAGCAAATGTAGAAAATTATTATTTTTTCTTTATTTATATTGACACGCCAAGAGACTTTGGAGACATAATACTGCGTCCTTAGGCGCTACTGCGTCTGAACATGCGCCAAATTCTTGAGCCTATGGGCATGAAAAATTTGTAAGTACTAAAATTGTGTTATTGAATTGTTGAGTAATTAACGAATCTTATCAGCTTCTAGTAGAACTCTGCGTGTGGAACGAACCCTCAAATGTGGAGTGCAACGCCCCTAGCCCCCTCGATCCTTTTGTTATGTTGTTTGGTTGTCGTCTTTCTCTGATAATCAGGAGAGGCCCAGACTCTGATCAATTGAGCCCAAACCTCCTCCCTGCCTAGATGGGCCACTCCCCTTTCCTATATGTTGTGATGAATATATCACCCAGCAGAAGCATGCCCTAAACTGAAAAAATATGATGGAACAGCTGATGATGTTTTGACGTCTAGTGGAAGGTCTTTCATAAATTAAAAATTATGCAATATTTATTAGTATAACAAAATAATTTGAAATTAAAATTTTAATTTAAATAAAATGATCCTTCCTCAAACTACTTGAACATGTTTTGAGTAGCAATTGAGATCTGCTTCCAGAAGAGATACAAAAAATCGTACCTACTCTTGATGGCCTCCGTGATGCGTATCACGGGTGGCCTGGAGGGAAATATTCTGAAATAAAAATATTAGTTACAAAAAGTATTGAAACAATCATTGAACTTATTATAATGTAAAAGGAAACTTACGAGTCTCTCTCCAGCAAAATGTATACTCGTACAAAGGTGTCCTACCTCATAGTAGCTGGAGTAGAGGGCTCGACTCATCGGAGGAGGTCACTGGTTTGGTGGTGGTTGAGTGAGAGGTGACACCCGAGTGGGAGGTGGTGGTTGAGTGAGAGGTGGTGATTGAGTGCTTGATAAAGGTGAGAGGGGATAAAGTGGAAGAAGTATGTGGTCAGAATGAAGAAGTCGGAGCGGTGACAAAAGGTGTGGGATGGATTGAACCTTTCTGCACCATAAAATCTATATTTTATTTATATTGCACCAGCCTTATAATATAGCATGCTACCTTTAGCACATCAATTCATCTTCTCAATACTAACTTTTTTATTTTATAAAGGTCATCAAGAACTAAATTCTCTATAGGATTTGTCTTCTTTAGCAATGTTGTCACTTGATTAAAGTATTATCTAAGCATGTTAAAATCATATTCGATACTCAACATTTTCAACACCACTGATAAATCTGTATGCATAGTACAAATTTTTCACAAAGATTGTTGTGCAGCATTCAGTAAATCATAGAATTTTTGCACTTCAATATTCAGTGCTTGATCATCCTCAATAATATTCCCAACAAAATGAGTCATTCGGGCAAGATAAATCATTTCTTCATATGCGTCAAGATCATATACTATTGAAGGGGCATAACCTAATGAGGCATCAACATGATCGTACTAAACATCTGGTTCATACTCATCATGTGTGGTCCAGTATCAATATTTAAGTTGAAATCCCTTGTGGTACAGATCTAACTTTACTTCACAAGTATTAGATAAGCTTAATTTTGTGCTTCGCACAAAGACAAAAACTTACCTTCCAAAAGGTAAATGAGTAGATGTAATACCATTTGCATAAATTCCTCAACATTATTCAAAAACTCATAAGTGAATCAATTTTTTCTTTAATATAATTAATTGTACACCTATGATATCAAAATTTGAATATCTATCTACAACATATATGTAGATTTATAGATTGGAAAATTGAAATATCAGCTGTATTTTCATTTCTTATGGATTATATATCTAACACTCAAAATCAAATTTTTATAAATTCTGCATTATAATTGTCATATAATTC